ATTTAGCCTTGTATAATTAATCTCAAACATTTGTACATCACAAATTTGTACAGTTTGTACAACACAAACGTGCTGTAAATGGCAACTGCCACAGGTCGATGAGAAAGGTGTGGTTGTGGTTTAATTGGGCCTGAAATTTTGGTCTGAACCCAAACCTGAGAATTTTATGTCCAAGTTTTGACATTTTGAGTTCGAACCTGACCTGAGAGCAACAAAAATCATGGCCGAACCTGACCAAACCAGCCCATCACCACACAAAGTGCATAATAAAAGTTGACCTGAAGTCGCCGGCTACCATGTAGAGACAATAATAGCCCTCATTAGAATGTGGACAAATAAATCGTAAAGCCATCTAAATTTGCTATAAAAAATTAACTGTCAAGAAAGTTTTTTTAATTTAAGTTTATATATATCTCATATAAATATCTCTCATATAAATATGTCTCATTGGCCGTCCTTTCTGAGAATTTGGTGATGATCTCTAACCCTTACCCTAACAGATGAGTTATTCCACTTGTCCACATCAGCCGTAATTCAGAGTGCAATTCAGACTGGTACACTGTTAGAAATAAAGGTTCTGTGCCGGTGCATTTTTTGTTCAACAAGGTACAGACAGTGTAAATGTTCCCTCAAAGGTACAACAGTGGTTTTAAGGTCCAAGTGTGTACCTGAAAAGGAAAAGTACATATTTGTACCTTTTTATAACCTAATATTTTAAAACAGAACAATAAAATAAAAAGCCTGGAGACGAGACGGGGTGTGTGGAGTCAATACAACTTAGAAAATATCATTTCAATAGATTATGGTACAATTATGGTCCCTGACTAAAGGTACTGAGATGCACCCTTGAGGGAACCACCCCAGTGACAAGAGGGGTACTGCCCACCTTTTTTCTGACTGTAGGAGCTCATTACTGATTTGTTTATTGAGAGTGACGATGCACACATTGTGTTCTTATTTATTTGCTTTCTTCTTCATAAAGGTAGTTTGGGGACAAATTAAAAATCCATACATTTCTGGCTTTGTTGGATCATGTTCTTCACTCTGCAGAGACATGGTATCCTGTGTGGATGGAGTTTGTTAGGTGATGATCCTGGTATGGCAGTGGTGCATTGGTGCATAGGCCAGTTCTATGCGAGGCAGGGAGATGGGATGGAGTGCTTGGCTGACCTTGTTGGGATGTTTGTGTGGCTGGTTGATGAGCTTGGCAGGACAATGGAAAGGGAGCGATGAGAACAGCAATTCCTCCCTCCCGTAATCACTCAGAGTGGTGAGCGTGCGTGTCCTCGGTTGGCTAAATCTTCTGGAGGGCTTCAGAACAGAATGACAGACAGAAGGGGAATTCTCTGATAGTGAAACCAAGATGAGCTACCACGGGAGCTCCCCTTGTCTACCCTTCTCTTTTTCTCCAGCACCTGTGGCAGTTGTGCTCTTTAGAATAGAGGTGGCAAAAAGGGTTCTTTGGAGTGACACCATAGTAGAACCACATTTGGTTTCCTAATGAACCTTGCAATGGATGTTTTCAACAAACTCAATTAATACCATTTAATTGAAAAATAGTTCTTCCATGGTATTGATGATGAGAACCCTTTTCTTGCATCTTTACCTTTTAATAGTGTACCCGAGGTGCAAAATACTGGGAGTCCTGGCGGGGCTGGGACCCCCTAATTAACTTCTTGAACCCCCTGAATGTATCAAAATCCAAATTCTGTGGGGTCCCTGAAAATAAGCTTAATATAACATTATGCTGTCTATTAGAGCAAAATAGACATGCAAATATATACAAATATAAAGGTCATTGTTTAGCTGGTTTACCCGCAATTGGCGAGCTTCAGTCTATGGTATTGTTCACTAACTAGAGATGAAGCACTGATCTGCCTTAAGGTGGCGCTGTAGCAAATTGGTTCACCCAGTTGGTGCTTCAACTGTAACTATGCCTATCCCTTTGAAAAACTTTACAATATGCTGTAGCATATTTGTAAATCTGAAAATTTTCCCAATTTTCCCAAGAGTTTGGTGTAAAGAGTGAAATTTTACTCACTTCTCAAACTGAAGGCACAAGAGATGTGGAAGGTCTCAGTTAATGTGTGGAAGACTGCATTACTAAGCTAGAAAAAGCATTTCCAGAAGAAATGTTAAACCAAACATTTTGTTGCCATTGAAGCAGCCAGCAAGTACTAGACTTGTAAGCCAGCATGGGACCCCCAGAATACCAGGGGGTATTTCGCACACTAAGAGTATGCCCATTCTGGCATATCACCCATTTTTCCTGTACCATAAAAAGATCTCATCTTCTCTATAATTTCTTTCTTCTCAGTGAATGATAAAGGAATTCATAAGTCTTGCCCATTCAACAGTGTCAAATGTATAGTTAAATGGTCCTCAGTCACACTCCTGCTGATTGAACCTCATTTTCCCCTTTTTTCTTCATTCATTCTCATTCAAACAAAATAGCACACAGATAATTTACATAATTTACCCATTTAAATTCACTCAAAACATCAGGCTTGTCTGTGCAGGCAGGCTGTTGTCTCAGAGACAGACAATCCTAGTCCTAGACTGGTAAAGATTCGCAGAGTGTGCTGTTTAATCCAAGCCTGGGCTTTATGTACGTCAGCAAAACGGTGTTTTTGGATGGAGGGAGGTGGTACAGAAGACAATGGGAAATTGAACAATAAGACAAAGTGCTCTGGCTCCATGAGCAGTGAAAGCAAATAAATTATAACAAGGCAGCTGTGAGCACTGTGGCTGAGAGAGAAACAGGAGGAGTGGAAAAAGAGTTGGGAAGGTGCTGCTGCTCAGACGTATCGATTAACTGGTTAAGCGTTTAATACGTTAATGCACAGTGATTATGGGTTGGGCTGATGCTCCATGAGTTCAGACTCATTATCATGCCTGCTGTTGAAGTCGTTCAGAACAAATACAGAAGGTCCACCTTCCTGCCTTGTCCTTCTCTTTCTATGCTAGATCATAAACAATTTAAACGCATAATAGCCTTCTACAATGTCTCTGTTCTTTGCCTTGAGGTTTGCAGTTTATCTGTTTCAAGCACCTTTTCTGCTTTTTACTTTTTAAAACTTAATCAAAACTGAACACCCCAAAGATACTAAGACACCTGTTCATTCACTTTATTATGCATTTTCATACTTTTGTCCCATCTGTACCCCATTTAAAACCTTCACTTTCCCACTTTTTCAGTATCCTCCTCATTTATTTGCTAATGCTCTCTTTAATAGCGTGACTTTGTGCTGGCGGCTAAACCGGCTCTGCGCTTCCTCTGCTGTGTGTGCATGTGTGTGTGTCTGTGTGCGCCCGCATGCTGTTGTTGTTTTTTTTCCCCCATTCATCCCTCCTGTTTCTTTCTTCATCTGCAGTCACTCCACGCTCCAACACTGCTTACGGCCCCCAGTGCTCTTATTTACAGTGTCCAGTCCACTGGCGGTGTTCATCTTTCTCAAAGCGTACCTCTTCTTTACCCCTCACCTCATAGTCAGAAATTCAAAATTTAAAGACTGTGTTTTTCACATTGCTCACCACAACATCATCCAAGAGCATTAAAATAATATAACGGCACAGAAAATGTGTTTTAAATGCCATTCAGTTGACGTAAAGCATTCAGTGTTTAGAGCAGCTTCATGTGCTGGTCAGTTGGTTGTGTGCTCTAGTGAAGGCAAGTGACCATACAATAAGGAACACTGCTGTCCTGACATTGTAGGAACACATCCTTTTGGTTACATAAGTTAAGGTTAGGTTATAGGTGTAGGATTATATATATATATATATTGTTGCTGCCCCAATAAAACCTTCTATCTACTCTATTTTTTACACTCTCCTGTAAAGTTACATTTTTGGAGATTGACAGTGACTGACAGTGATGATATGTATAATAAATATACAAATATACAAGTATACAAATGGGACATATTATTATTATTAAGTACTTGTATAGGTATTTATTATATAATACACACTGTACATGATATTTTTTATATGTAGTTAGGTACAGTTGTATGCAAAAGTTGCATTTTCCCAATATGTTAAACTCAGCAAATACATAGAAGTGGTGCACTAAAATTGCAGAAAAAATGCCATATTTAAGTTCCCTGAAGAGGAAGTGAAACTCATTTACTTATGTTTTTCTTTTCTTAAGCTTGAGTTTATATTTAGGGGAATTCCCATTTTCAGTGTAGCCGAGTACCACAACAGGTATAAAATCAACAAAATAGTAATAGATTAAAATAATAGAAATAATACGTAATAATAGGAAGACAATATGTATGGGACATATTATGTTTACACATTGCTACATGGTCCCACGTCCTGACACTGTATAAAAGCAAACGTGCGTGTGTGTGTAGCCTAATAATCACCATTGCGCTCACTCCCCCTCAGAGCCACTGCAGTAGGACGAATGCAGAATGCTTTAACGCTGTAAAGATGTGTAACTGAGCTGGCACTGTGACCCTGACTCACGCATGAGTGTTTCCTCCCAGCTGTGTAAGAAATCTCCTTTAGCTCTCAGCGCGTGGTGTGTGTGTGTGTGTGTGTGTGTGTGTGTAAGTGTACAAGGGACCCATTTCCATCCCTTCATCTGATAGTCATCATATAACTAAGTCTGTGGACTCAGAGACCATATATGGCTCCGCCGTGTTTCCTGTGTGTCACCCACCCACCCTTTCAGCTGAGGTAGACACGCCCCCTCTTATTTTTCTCTCCCACATCAATGGGAAAACAGAAAGAAAGAGGAGGGCGCCTTTTTCCCACACATATTGCGGAAAGCCCCGCCCTCTCATGCTATGATTGGCTAGTGAATCGTAGGTGAGCCGCTCTTGAGTGTGAACTGCTAGCCAATCCTGCGCTGGGAGGGAGGGGCCACCATTAGCCGAGCCTCGCTCAGGATAACACTAGCCAATCCTAGCTCAGGGTGGGCGGGTCCTTCCCGAATACGGGTGGGAAATAATAATAACGCGGTCGAGCGTCTCCCCTGTGTGTGTTTTTTTTCTTCTTTCAAGTAGTGCAGGGCAACCAGGAGCGCAGAGACCGTGTGCTCGTACATGTCTGATATTTTACTGCATAATATTTATATGAAGAGGTCGCGCTGCTCCATATAAGCTTTGTTTCCCTCTGCATTTCTCTCTGGTTTTGTGTGATATTTTGGAATGAGCTGCTTTCTCGCCAGCGTCGTTGTCCCTCCAGCATGGGAACTGCCGTGTCCAGAAGGAAGAATCTGAGAAACGATGCCATTTCGTCGGTGGCGGCAAAAGTTAGGTGAGTCCCTCACTCCCTTTGCACTTGGCTCCCCTCAGGCACTCCATCCTTGCCCCAACCTGCCCCACTCCAGAGTTACAAAACGATGCGCTGAAAGCTTCTGCAGCTCCTTGTCCATGCACCAAGGACGGGTCACAGCCACAGTCACCAGCCTGACCAGAACTGACCAGCATGCAACTGGAAACTATTCAATGCATCGTCTTTATCATGAAGTCTTAGTTGCATGAGATGCCAAAGCTGCGGTGTTTACTGATGTGTACTAATGTCATACATAACGTGAGTGAATGGTGCGTCCAGTCAGGAAATCATTGGGCTTTGCATGGATGGGGTAGTGGGCTTAATATGACCGTTTAAGAGCCGTGCAGCGTGGTGCTGATGTAGGTGGGACGGTGCTGGGCTGTGTACATGCTGTAGCTGCATGGCTGTCAGGTACCACTGCGGAGGGTCTGCTGTGCCTAAGCTCAGAGAGGGAAGAGTGAATGGAGCGAACTGCAGGAGAAAAGCAGCCTAATGTTTTCAGTTCTTCTTGGCGTGAGCTCAGACTGGTGCTCTATAACGAGCATTGAACGAAGACACGATCATAGATGTGGGAAGCGGGGGTCTTCTGGCTTTGGTGGTCGTTTCTCACGTTGCACTAGGACTTTAGGGCTGTGCTTTTGTTTTGTCATGATCTGCTGATCGTCCCCTCGCGCTCATAATGAAGAGGTTAAAGAGGGCAGCTGCTCGCCAAGTTCACCTTGGGATGGACAGCGTTGCTAAAGCTGTGGAGTGCAATGTGCAGTGCTCGTGCTCTGGGAGATCGATCGATCAGTTAGTCGTCCAATCAGCCAATGAATCAGTCAGTTAGCAAATCAGTCGGCTGATTAACCAATCAATAGGTCAGACAAAGACGAGTTTGTGTATCAATTCATCAGTTAGTCAATCAGTGTGTCATGTCAGCCAATGAATACATTATCTAATCAATCATCATTCAGTCAGGCAATCAAAAAATCAGTCAGCCTGTCAATCAGTCAGTCAGTCAGCCAATCAGTCAATCAATCATTCCGTCAGTCAGCTGGAAGTGACCTAGTCTGCCTTTGGCCATTACATGCCTGCTAAATTATGCAGGCCAAGGACGTTTATAGTGATTTATTCCCTCATAAATACATGCATCTATTGCTTTAGCATTGCAGCAGTGTTGCATTACAGGTAGCACTCATCTTTTGTCCTCTTCCATGTCCTCGTAGGATCCATGCTCTACTTTGGTCATTTAAATAAGTATACTGGCTCAGATTCCATGTATTTACCCACCGAATGGGTTTCATGACATCATAGGTGTTACATATGTGTCATATTTCTTGTGATACCCAATTCACGAGGTCATAGACGTAACCCCGGCTTCTACGTGACAGCAGCATCCGGTGCCCTGGCTGAGCAACAGATTCATGAATACGGGGTCCATGGCATTCCCTCTCCTGCGCGTGTGTGCGTGCATGTGTGTGTGTGCGGGTGTGTGTTGTAGAGAGCCTGCTCAGTATGCAGGACAGATGTGTGTGTGCACATAGCTCAGCATACTGATTTCAAACACAGTGTCTGAGAGAGAGAGAGAGAGAGAGAGAGAGAGAGAGAGAGAGGGAGATGGGTACATAAACACTTGTAAGTGCAGCACATTTAAGGCTTGGACATGTTCACACACAAGCATGCACAGCTCGATGGGTAATCTCATTGCTGCAGTGACATACACTTGCAGACTGTGAATACATTATTAATGCAAGTATGCAGAAATGAGCAAAGGCCTGAGCGTATTTTCACTGAATGTGAATAATTAGGCTGTAAGTAAGTAGCTATGTAGCTCCAGGGCTGTTTCTGTGTATCAGTAACTTGCACGGGGTGCGTACCGAAATGACTTCTATCAGCTGAAACATGGTAATGAGCAGGCATGTGCAGACTTTCACCACAGATGTCATTCATTAAGGTCCCTTTCAGTGAGATGCTGCACGTTTTGATACCTAATAATGAATTAATGCAGTGTAGTATGAACTGATTAATTTGTAAGTGATAGGTATTGGAGAGCTTTTGCTTTTTCCCCATTTAGGAATCAGGCTAATTTCTGACTGTGTCAAATATTAAACAGATTAAGGGCTCTTATGTAATTTCACCTTGTGCTCACAGGTTGACTCACCTGATTGTTTGTTATTCTGTAATGGAAAGGTGTGAAAATGATGTGATAGGCAGTTTTGTGGTCTAAGATATGTGAAAAGGTCTTAAGGCAGAATCCTTTAAACTTTTTTGCGTAACTTAATTATTAGGATGTAAGACTGGTCTGATGTGATTCATTGTAGAAAAATATACCAACTCACTTTTTTTGCAGTGGTGGTGATAGGAACCAGGGGTCACAATGTCTACAACACAAATATAAGTTTAAATCATTTACTATCCACACAACCAGTGAACCTACATGTCTTCTGAGTTTTTATATGAAATACTAGTTAATCTAAAAAAGTTGAAGTTTTCTTTGGGAACTACTTTGCCTTACAACACCTGCATGTATCTCTCCACCATGAATGGATTAAAAAAAAACACATGGTAAGCCAAAAGCTATTCTCAAAACTATTATAACACAATGTATCAGACATAAGGAAGTGTATTCATTAGCATTTCATGCAATGACTTCCTGTCAGAGAGGTTTTAGAGGTATTAAACTCTTCAGACGTCTGGTTCCTGTCACCTCCATTGTGAACAATTCTGAGTTGTTAAGTTTTTCTAGAACAAAACATTTCAATCAAACCACACTGTATGACTTTGTTTACATTTTAGCCATTTAATTATGCTGAAAGTTTGGAAATCTTTAAAACTTTTAAATGAAATGAAATATTTTAAAGAAACCTTTGCAAACATTTTTGTATTTTAAAGAACTACATGTAAAGAACCTAATTTAAAGTTTAAAGAACCTCTACATAACTAAGAGCTATTTAGGGCCCTTCATTTTCCTGAGTCTAGCAGGAGTTTGTTCACATTGCTCCAGCCTTGGATTCTTCAGAGCCACAGCATCACTCCATCTATTTCAAGCAGTCCTGCAGCTGGTCACTGAGATCTCCTCTGTCATCTCACCGCACATGCTGTGCCCTGCACAAAGCATCTGTCTTTGAGCATGGTAGGGCTGCCTGCTGGCTCACAATGCTGTCTGTCCTTCAGGACCCCCTTTCCTTTCATACTGTCTCTCATAGAGATGGCAGATGTTGGCAGTGTTTTTTCTGCATGTCTTGATGTTGAGCTGGATGGAAGGTTGCTTTCAGAAACAATAGGCCAGGATGGAGGTCCAGGCTGGAACTGCATCTGGATGCCCCCAGAGAGTGATCAAAGCCCCCCGCCGCTCCCTCATTGTGCCACTTGAAGCCCATCCAGCCTGGTTTATGTGCAGAGAGGCTGAGTCATCACTGAGGACTCCATCACTCTCCACGCTCTCTATACACTCATGCATATTACGGGAGGTGAAACTGGAGGGCTTGATTCTCAGGCTTTGACTCAGCGCTTGCGAGCACGCACTCGCTCTTGTTGTACAAACAGACACACGCGGTCATGTCCGCTGAGAGCTGTTTGTTATTCCTCTGTTTTGTAGCTGTTCATGTTGCCAGCCAGCAGATAGCAATATGAAGCTGAAATAAACGCAGCCATACATAGAATTCTCATGTACTGAGGATTTGAGCATAGAGAAGAAGAAAAGCCATAATATTTGATAACTGTTAATCTTTGAAGGTCTAGTTCAGGGAAAAAATCAAGTTTACACAAGTTTATCCTACCCCTAAACATAGTTGTGTTGTCTGAAGTTTGTTTCAGTAGTTTTGCACTGGAACTACTAAGCTAATTACATGTAAATTAACAAGTGATGGAAGCTATAGGCACCAGATTAGCATTGTGCAAACTGTATACCTGAAGCCTCAAACTTAAACTTGCTTATGTGGTTTTTGATGCTTTATGTAGGTCTGCCACAAGCAGGACATTTTAGCTGACGATTAATCGCCATATAATAATAAATTACAATATATAAATAATTGCTGTGAACACTTGTTTTGTTCATTGCATGCAATTATTAATGGTACAAGACTCAGCCTAAACTTGCTTCCTAGGTGTTTATACTTAGCAGTTCCTAGTAGATGACAGTGCAATCTCAAATAAACAAACAAAACCCACTGTTGCCCTCTAAAGGTGTCATTAACAAACATCAGATAAACAAATTTTAGTCACTGCTGCCCTCTAAAGGTGTCATTAACAAACACCAAATAAACAAACATTACTCACTGCTGCCCTCTGAAGGAGTTATAAACAAACACCAAATAAACAAACATTACTCACTGCTGCCCTCTAAAGGAGTTATCAAAGCTTTACTGTATTAGATTTTTTGTGTAAATTGTGTAAAGTAGCATTACTAAGTCAGCAGAAGAAAAGCATGCTAAAATATCGTGTGCATGTGCTCTGCGAGTCACCCTGTAAAGTAAAATACAATCATTTAAAAGTCTGAAGCATCAAGTCCTAAGACCCAAGACTTTTGCACAGTACTGTGTGTCACATAGATAAAACAGTGATAGCAGCCATGGGAAGACTGGGTACTTTTTGCCAAACTGTTCCTTTAAAATGCCCATATCAAGGAAAATTGAATTTACAGTAGTATATAAATGTTGCTAAAATTTTAAAACATACAATTAATTCTCCAGTCTATACATGTATGGACACTTAATTGTTAATTAATTGTTTGTGTGATGTCATGAAAACCAACGCATTCAGCCTACAACAGTTTAGCTCCACCTATTCATACTGAAGTTATAAGGAGTATTGTAGCCTGGAATGCTTTTTTGGATGACACACAATACAGTGAAGCCACTCAGAACAGAGGTCATTTACATATATCTGTAACATATCAGTAACAAAAACAGTCTACTTGTAAGGGATAATAAGAGGTTGGGAAATGGTCATGTAAAAATGAATTATAAATGTATTTGGTAAAAACATTAGAAGTAGACCTT